TCTATGATTCTATGATTCTAACCATCTCGACTACCAAATGCAGATTCTGCTACAGCTTCAACTTGCCAAACACTTCATTTTAACTCGTATGCTCAGAGGATGGGATACAGAGCGGAGTTTATAGCGTTCACTCACCAGTGTGTTATATTGTACTCCACAGAATGGCCTCTAACTATTGATGAAAACCTGGAAAGACAGATTTATTTATGAAGAGTGGACTCCAGTTGTACTAGAACAAGACGAGCGTGAGCTAGGAACCAACAGGAAAGATTTGAATCACATGACCTATAAAAATATAAATAATACTATCCTGAGTTCAAATAATCACTCAAAAGGCAGAAACTTCAACACTAAAAATTAAAAAGGAAGGCTTTTACAGTAAGAAATGAACTTTGCCTGTCAGGTGACTCTTTCTTAAACCGCTTTTGATCCATTACCAGTTGTTTGGTTCAAAAAGATATGCATACTTATTTAATCAGAACCTCATTAACACATTAGCTTCTACTTATTAAGAAAAGAAAGAGCATAACATTAATAATTCTTTTGGGAAATAGATTATTACAATTGCTCTTTAACTTTGCTTCAGACTGCCTCTGAATTTCACTTCTCCAGTTTCTCAGCTGCAAATTCTGCAAGGAAGGATGTCACTGCAACTCTTGCCATGACTGCTGTCAGGTCTCCAACTGGTATAAAAATCATAGGTTAGCCTACCAATGTTTAAAGCAGTTATTCTGACACTGTTTACCACAATCTAAAATTTTCTTCAAAGCCAATTAAGTTGCTGATAGAATGGATTAACATGCATAGTTCAAACATAGACCAGAGAGAAGTGTAAATTTGTAAATTCTTAAATCTTTCTTTTTCCACCAAAGTTAACTTCCTTTGTGCTTTCCTAAGCAATTCATCATTGGCAACATGATCCAAGATTAATTTTAGATGATCAATTATTGAGTTCTTTGTAGGGGAAGTCTCAGTGGGGCTAAAACACACGCCCCAAACCTAACCAAACAAACCAACACCCCTCCCTTCCCCCATGTCAAAGCATCCATCGTAGAATAGATGGGAGTGAGACCATTGTCAAGTGATGCTAATGACTGACAGAGTATTGCATGCATATGCGAAAGTTTTGGAGCTCCAGAAGATACAAACCAGTAATGACATCAAGCAATGTACTGAATCACTAGAAAAAAAAGTCCCAGTTGATTTTCCAAGCAATGTGATTGCCCAGCTGAACAGATTGCGTTTCTGGGATTTTGTACAATAATCAAGCTCAGCAACGAAAGAAACACTTAGGAGAGACATTTTTCGGGGAAAAAAACCCAAACCTGCAATCCTGTTCTCTTCTTAGATTTGTTACTGAGTCATTTTGCAGCTGTAAACGCTGACATGCCTGCACTGAAATCTAGCACTTGTCTAGCCTAGACAACATGATTTGCTGCAGTGGAGTGAACTATCTTTTCTACTCTCATTCAAACTCAGTAAACATGAAGGCCATGGCTGTGCTGCCCACTCAGTGCAGAACCTGGCACAAGCAGAGTGTATATTCATCATCCTTGTCAAACAGATTTGGGAGATGAACAAATACATAGAACATCGTAAGGTCAAAACGCATTGTTACACATTTGGATAAGTAACTCCTTACATACCCACACATATTCATTTCTCTACCAAATGTTACATTTGCATCTTTGCCAGCAGAATGGGCACAATTGCCAAAGTAAAGATTGTCTGATAAAAAAGACCCACAGTTCCTAGATCTCTATTCATCACATTCTATGAAGCTGCTATAACTTAGGTCATAAAAAACCCCATAAAAGTAATAAAAACGATGTTTAAGCCATCTTTTCTTCATTTTCTCCTATTCCTTATCAAACAGTATTTTTGGGGGGAAAAATGGCAGAGAATCTAGAAGATACTCAGTTTAATGCATAGATTTATTAACAAATGTCTTTTTTTTTTTCCTCAGCAGCCCGAACCTGAAAGGTCATGTTGTCATGTTTTCCACCTACTGTTGTTTCTGTAACAACTGAGTATCTTCACAAACTGTAACTTGTAACAGTCCATAGGTTTTCTTCTTTCTCTCCATTTAAAATAGTTGCAGTATGACATTTAAAGCATTATAGAAGATATTCCACTCAGGTTTTTTTCATGCCAACATAGCATGTAATGCTGGATTTGAATCTTAGAGGTATAAAGTTATAAGTTGCTCAGAGATCTGTAGAGAAGCAGTCTTCCTGTTGTCCCACTTTTATTCCTTTGTTAATTCCTTCATTTAAGTGCTTATAGTAATTTTGAAGGACCATATTTGTATGATTTTGTGCAGGTGAAAGATTTACAGTATCTCATTATCTTTAGAGGAAATGTTACTAACTAGATACTCAGAACTGAATATTAAAATTCAGTGAGATACCGGAAAATTAGTGGGAAATAAAATGAGTGTATTTCCTTTTAACTTCTTTTGTACTTCTGCAGTTTAAACCTAATTATCATAACCAATTATACTAATACAGTTTCACAAATACTAACCAACTATTTGCTATAGTAGTTTCTGGCAACACTGTCATTCAAATTTCTGGCAATGTTATTTGTCAGCCGGAATTACTTTTAAAACAGGAGTACCTTTTGGCCTCAGTCATTGTTGCCCAAAGAGAGGAGGAGTATTGTAAAGCTGCTTTACTTTGATGAAATTCAGTGGTACCCAGAGCTGATCTCTCCCCATTAAACAATGACTGTGGTTTCTAAAGAACTAACTGCACAAAGTTATGTCAAAGGTTATTGGAAAAGGCAAAACTGGGGCAATGGTTTTTGATCCAGCCAGCACACCAAGTCACGACAACACGGCCAGAAAGCAGGCTCTGCTGTAAGCATCCAGTAATGACAGCTTCACCCGGCAAGTACCTCAGGGCTTAACAAGCATGCATCTGCTTTGGGCAACTCCATCTTTTCCCATTCCTCTAAACTCATATACACTTGCAAGTCTTTTTACAATTACTGATCAAATTACCTTGTCCAGTAAAACCAGATAGAGTGACTAAGAGTTTAGCAGCAGTATTGAATCTAACGTTACCAGCTCAGAAACACAGACAAGTTCGTGACTAAGAGTGCTTATGGTTCCAGAATCATTACATTACTACAAACAAAAAACCCCACTTAGAATAAAAGGAAAATGTCATTGCTCTTAGCAACAAATTATAACTGCAGTATAGACAATATTCATGAAGATCAATCCAGAGAAGGGTTCTGCATCCTCTTCAGAAGATGGAAATCAGGAAATGTAATTTTTCTATGCCATGTAACTATGTGACCATTTTTTCTTATTCAAGAGAGTGAAAAAGAATAGCATTCTTATCTGGTAACATTTTCAAAATATGAGACAGCTGGGATAAAACAACAAAGCTCCTACCTGGACTTCTCCTAGGCTTGCAAATATTTAAACACTGGGCTCTGATTCTCAAGTAGAAAATGAAAAATAACACAGATATTTCCTGGATGGTGAAACCACATGAAAAACTACGCAGTCTGCATTTGTGTATTTCCATACCTGTTACATAGAAAGATCTATTTTCAAACAGTTTTAAAATACTTGGAATTCATAAAGGCAAGTCAGAGTTATTTTATACTATGATCTTAAAAGGCAAAAACATATGGACAGCACCCTTTATTATGAACTGCTACTTGCTTTCTACTCCCATAAGAATGCAGCTTCACTATTTAAGGCTTCTAGAGAATTATCAAAGAATAACACACTAAAATTACCTAACTTTTGACTACGAGTGTTTCTGGCAGACAGGTGAGCACATGGCACTGCAATGTCTTCTTGTATTAAGACAAGGATGTTATGTTTCCACCACACAGAGAAAGGTTTATGTAACAATTGTACCATCCTGTACAAATGAGCCTGCAGCAGCAAGGGAACTCTTGGAAAGAAAGATCAGTAACTTTTTCTTCCTTCATGTCCAAAATTAAAACTTTGTATTTCTGGTGTGAGAGCTGTCAATATTGCAGATGCTCTGTGCTGGACTACAGAGAAGCATGGCTCTTGCAGAACCAGTTGACAGTTAGCAGCAACTCAGGCTGACTTCAGTGTTGCCTTTGGGGATTTCCATCGTGTTCTTTTCCAGTTCTGTAGAAACAAAAAAGTTGTAAAATCAATTAATAAGAAATCATACCATCCAATACTAAGGGTAATAAAAGCTGAATGCAGCTCTAGTTATTCCTATATGCTAGAACTCAGGTAGACACCTACATGAATATGTTTGCAGGTGTTTGAAACAGGCTTCAATACTTTAAAAACCTTCCCCAATCCTTCAGACTGTAAACAAGGAAAATGCACACAAAAAGCAAAACAACATACTGATGAGGTTTCCTGCCCCAATTTGGGCCATGTGCCCAGCAGTCTTCTCCATCTCCTTTATCATGGACTGTTCAAAGGCCAAGGCAGCAACTCGGGAGAAGAACTCTCTGACATTTTCCCCTAGAAAACAGGGCAGAAATTATGTGTTTTTACAGCTGCACATCAACACACGATCAAGCATTACAAGCACATCTGTGAACAGATCACTGCTCAATACTGGGACAGAACAGGCCTCTCCAACAATCTGATCACTGCAGAGAGAATTTCTCATTTTCTTACTCTGGAATACTGTACCCTGTTACCACACTTTTATTTTTAGTCAACAACAGAGAGAATTCAGTTTGTGGTATAATCTTTTTTCATTGCTAATGTTGAGTAGCTGCACACATGTATATTTATGTAACTACCTATGAATTAAACATGCTTAGACGTTGCACAGCAGCTCAAGTACTCCTTTCTGTAAACACGACAGTGCAAGCACACTTACAAATGCTCAAATAAAATCAACCATTAACAAACCTGAAGTTTTCAATAGCAACAAATTGCAAGAACAACAAAAAACCTTCATAGGAATTGGGAGACAAGGAGCTTTAACTTCCTCCCACCCTAACTAAGACTTTGTGGTTATGCTATTGTTACTTCCTTTGCGGTAACTTACCTGTTTTGGCTGAAACGGACCAGTACTCTGCCTGCATCTCATTAGCAAAGCGGATGGCATCTAGCTCTGTTCTTTCACACGCAGCATCTGACTGAGTAAACAACACAGAATAACTTTAAGGTAAGAAGTGTATCTGGCCTGGTAATAACATAGAGGTACTGCTAGCACCCATGTTTCTGGTTTTTACTTTTCAGGCCTTTCGGTTTTGCCTTAGAAGTTGTGCAATCAGACATGATTTCAAGAACATTCAAGTACTGGGGTGTGCAGGTGAGGCGTGCAGACAGGGCCCAGTGATTGTTGCCACTTGGCCAAAAGCCATCGCCAGGAACAATGTGATGACCCAGACAATGCTCCCACTCGGGCATGCAGCTGTCCTGGTCTCTGGTTGCAGGGAGTGCCTGAGCCTATCTCTGGTACCCGATGGAAGCAGAGACAGCACCTGTGTGAGGGGTGACCAGGGGGATGATCTGCTCAGCCAGGTGGCAGAGCTGAAGGAAGAAGTGGAAAGGCTGAGGAGTATCTGAGATTGTGAGAAGGAGAGAGGTTTTGGCTCCACCAATCCACCACTCCTAAGGCAAAGGAGCAGACGGAGGCCCCGCAAGCAGCAGTGGATCCCATATCCTCTTACCACCAGGCAGACAGAAGGGACTTAAGACAGGGAGGAGAATGGAAACAGGTCCCTGCTTGGGGAGGTAGGCAAATCCCCTCCTGCCCTCCCTCCCCTTCCCAGTTGCCCCTGCAGAACAGATATGGGGCTCTGGAACTCGAGGGCCAGGAAATTGTAGATGCAGAGGAAGGCCCAGCCAGGGGGTTGCCCAGGATGACTCAGTCAGCCTCATTTGTTACGACTGCTTCTGTTAAGAAAAAAAAGTAGGGTCATTGTCACAGGCAATTCCCTTCCGAGGGGAACAGAGGGCCCAATATGTTAACCAGACCCATTGCACAGGGAAGTCTGCTGCCTCCCTGGGGCCCGGATTAGCAACACCACCAGGAAACTCCCTGGTCTGGTACGGCCCTCAGATTATTATCCGCTGCTGGTCAGGCAGGTTGGCAGTGATGAGGTTGAGGAGAGAAATCCAAAAGCCATCAAAAGGGACTTCAGAGCACTGGAGTGATTGGTTGCAGGATGAGGAGCAGAGGTAGTGTTTTCCTCCATCCCTTCAATGGAAGGGAAGCGTACCAGAAGGAACAGGAAAGCACGCCTGATCAACACATGGCTCAGAGGCTGGGGCCAATGGTGGTATTTCGGGTTTTTTGATCATGAGGAGGTTTATACAGCACTGGGACAGATGGTGTGCAGCTGTCTCAAAGGGGAAAAAGGTTTCTTGCTCATGAAGTGGTGGGGCTCATCAAGAAGGGTTTAAACTAGGCTGGAAGGGGACAAAACCAGTAGTGACACCAACAGATGCCCAGAGCCTGGAGAAGAATCTCAGGTCACCAGGAGAGCACCTGGCAAGCAAAACAAGGGAATGCTAGATGCTCCAGTCAGCAAGCCACCTTCATCGGGGGCCCATCTTTAATGCCTCTGTGTGAATGCACGAAGCATGGGAAATAAACAAAAGGAGCTAGAGGTGTGCGCATGCACGAGGGGCTGTGACCTCGCTGGCATTGTGGAGACGTGGTGTGGTGACACCTATGACTGGAGTGTCAGAATGGAAGGATACAGGCTCTTTAGGAAGGACAGGCAGGGGAGACATGGAGGGAGTGTTACTCTCTACGTCAGGGGAGTTGGAACTAGATGATTTTTAAGGTCCCTTCCAACCTACACCATTCTATGATTCTACTTGGAAGAGAAAATACTAAGTACTGCTTTTAAAATGGAAGCCTCAATTCACCTCCCTCAGTACTGAAACCAAATAGCAGTTAACAAATGTGACCATTTTATCTAACTATGTAGCCTAGTAGCGAGCTGGAAAGACAACAGCTCAGTTATTGGTCTTCAAATTCTTGTCACCCTATCATTCTCAGAAGATGACTTGTAGGACTGACTAATGACAATGGCTCTTTGGGTTTAATTTTTTTTTTTTTTCTGTCTCAGATCCTTTTTTCTACTCCACCTATTTTTACTATGTTGTAACACTGTGGCCTTCCCCCATTTTATGTTTGTTCTTTCTGATCTCTTCTTAAAACTAAAATTTCTTGGTGCTTCAGTGGATTTTGCTTTCTTGCACTTAAATTTTAAACAAGAGTGTCTTTTTAGCGTCTTGCTTGTTCTCTGCGGTCAACCATATCAGTATGTTGCTATTTGCTTTCAATTTCTAGCTTATTTGTGATGAATTATACCAGCCTTTTTTGTTTGTACAGTCTTATGTGCATTGTCTTACAATAGGGAACCCCTGTACAATCGAGAAGAATTCTAAAAATTTGGAAAGGATGATGTGACATCAAGGTAAGTAGAGTGAATCCAGCTGGGAAGATACTGGCTTCATCCTGAAGTAATATCTAGAACCTCCAGTCCTTTGCTCTGATCTTGTCTCCCTTTCAGTTGAAAGTCCTATCATTCTAAAACTAGAAACTAACATACAGTAAGGAATTCTAGCTTAGACAAGACTTCAGATCTGCATCCTCAGAGGTCTGGCACATTTAGCTTTTACTGCAACTCAGAAAAAGCAGTATAAGCAACATAAAATACCAGAAAAATTGTCAGACATGCAGCATTCTGGGACTTCTTTTCGTTGAAAGCTAAGAAAAAAACTGCATCAGTGATACTGTGGCAGTTGGTAGGGGAAATAAAAAAAAAAATCAACAGAAGAAGCAGCAAGTTTGCTTTGAAATCTTTAAGAATTAAGCATTGCTAGCTAGAGAAGGTCAAGCACAAGACTTAAAATAGTACAGGGTAAGTGCATTATATCCTGTTCTTCTGAAAATGATGTCACATTCAATTAAGTAAAAATTCTTCCGTGTTCCTGAATAATTAACACATTGTCCCTAAAGCAAAACAAAACAAAAACAACCTTCAAGATAATTATGTACTCTGTTCTTTTGTGCATCCAACTTTTCTCTGCCCTATCAGTGGTTGTACGTGCTTGGAAAATGTCATGCAAGGAATGGAAAGAGGGATATTTCACTAACTACACATTTTTTCAGAAAGTGTCTTCTTAAATTGGTTCCAAGTATGCTGTTCTATTTACCTGTGATGAACTTACTTTCTCTTCTGGTTTTCCCCTCAAGGTCTTTGTCTTAACAACATTGCGTACAACTTGTAGGGGAAATCACTTGAGGAACTAAGGGAAATCAACTTAACTTACCACCAGATCTTTTTTTGTTCCAACCAGAAAGATGAAGCTGGAATCTGGCTCATTCTCTCTCAATGCATCTTCTAGCCACTGCCTGAAATACAAAAGAAAAAGGAGAGAATCAGTCTGAGGGACTGAGGAATATAGAAGAAAGTGACAGATAATAGGGTCACAAAAAATATGGGAGGATAAACTTATATGCAAGTATCAAAAGCCTTTCTTCTAGACAGAAAGACACCTGGAGCTAATCCAATTCCTTTGAGTACACACCTTCCAAGAATGAAAAGTTCAAACATGACCACTGTGCAAATTCAACAATGATTTTAACACCCAGAGAGAATATTTGTCAGTATAAGGCAGGAGGTAAAAATTTGAGCGAAATAAGAAACAGGAAAACAAGAAGCAGAGGAAAGAATATGAACAACATAGCAGATCAGAGACAAACGGGAATAAAGAAGAGTGAAATAATCTATTCAGCATTATAAAAGAACGCTCTGTGAAGGCTGCATGATGCTTGTCTCACAAGCTTTTATATTTTTGTTACTCTGGCAATCAAGCTCCTCTTGAGTCATCCAACATAAATCAGGGAGGGAAGGTGGTGTGCCGGGGAGGGGCGGAAATCAGGTTCACAGGCTTCAATTATTTTCAGCCAAGCAGAGACACTAATATATATATTATTTTACAAAGTCCTATGTAAATGAGAAAAGTACCACAGCAGTACTTGAAGGAAATAGTCTAATGCACATTCAAGCGAAACAGAGTACAGGTTGTAAAGAAACGTGTACCTGTGTTACAGTCACAACAGGATGTTAGAAATATATACGTTCTGAGCTGGCAACAACAGTGTGGATCATAGATCCATGTAGGGTTTTGCAGTCTGCACTAAAAGCAGAATAAGTTTACTCATAACAATTAGCGTGTGGTTGTAACCAAACCATTACAGGTGTCTGAACCAGGAAGTTTAGCTATATCTACACATACTCTGAGTTTTTAATTTTCTCTCCTCTTTTTGACAGCCTATCTCCCAACAGAATCACTATAGAAACTAGAGAAAGAAAGCAATTTTGGGCTAGCAGTGCACCTAGAAAATGAGATGCTCTTGAGACATTACACATGAGATGCAGCTCATCAATTTCACCGTTTACATCAGATGCCAGCCTGTTACTCTATTTATAGCAAATGGAGAAAATAAAGGATGCTTTTGGGGTGCACTTCATCTCTTCCCACAAGCCTAGTTTTGGAAGGATCAAGCTCCTACTGAAGTGCCTTTTTCTCTCCACTGACTATAAAGGAAGTCAAGGGTAAGTAGTTCAAATTTATGCTCTCCATTTTCTTCAGAAAAATCCTACCCTATGTAATCCAAACAAATGACTGTCATTCTTCATTTCTTAGTTCAAAAGAAAATACAATTCAGCAAGTTCGGAGCAACTACTGGCTATCCAAGGCAATTAAACCCACTGCAAAAGCTTTAAAGGCTAAGCCAAAATACAGAAACTTACTTGGTGTGATCCAAAGTCTGGATATCAGCCAGGTCAAACACTGTTATTATAACTGCAATAAAAGACAAGAACAGAAAGAAGTAATTACGTTAGAAAGTGTATCAGAAGTCTCTCCAACTCGTCTTGTTCAACAGAGAGAATGTTTACCTATAAAGTGCAAGAGCAGATTTAACACAGAGAAAATGGAAGAATATCCATTTGCTCTTTCCTCTTCCTTCTTTAGCATCCAGTAAGACTGAAGCCCTCAGTCTTCAACCTTATTCAGTCTTCACCTATAGTCTGCAGTCCATCTGCAATCTATAGTGCTATTACTCCTTCTAATTATTTATTTTGGGATCACTTTAATTCCTGCAGAAATTGTCTTTTATCAAAGGCAATGCCAAAAGTATCCACTCCTAACTTTACCAATAATCTTATCCAAATCCAGTTTCTTTATCCCCAGACATGGGCCAGTTTTAATCACAGCATCATCAGAACATTCAGAGTTACAGCTGTGACAATTCCTGAGCTTTTTAGTCCCTTCTTCTCCCCAGTAGGAGAGCATCCATTCCACCACACTATCCACAGGCACCTTTCCAAGGAGCACACACGCATATACGTTTCTGTGTAAAGTACAACCTCCTGTCACAGCCACGATCAAATGAATATTGTTCTTACCCTCTGCTCCTCGGTAGTAAGCAGATGCAATGCACTTGAACTTTTCCTGACCTGCTGTGTCCCATCTGTGCAATGGGGGAAAAAAAGAAATTTCAGGTTAATGAAACCCAGTGTAACCTGAGTAAACATGCTAATGAAGCAGCAGACTGGTACAAGTTGGAGAAGAATGTGATACCAGAGAAGTGTTACCATCTGGAACATGTTATTCATTAACTACTGATAGAAACACAGTAAAGCTCTATTATTTAATGAAGACATTTGAACTGTGCTTTTATCTTTTTTTTTTTTTTTTGGTAAATAATGGTAATTTTGAAGACAGAATTCAATTATTCCTATTCTGTGTGGTAATACCCTTTTCTTAAAACATTTTTCTTCATCTATGTCATTTGCATGTATTTGTAGGGCAATCTAGTTTTGAAAATTTTCTGTGCTAATACTAGCTAAATCATATATTAGCCAATACTAGAATCTTGCAATTACTATATATGGTATCTGTCCACACACTATAAATTGGAAACCTACAACTCAGTCCTCCAGGTACTAATGACACCATCAAAGAAAATAAAAAACATGCTTATGAATGAACATGATATGCAGTCGTCTCAGTTACTGCCAGCACTACAGAGGTTTGGGTTTTTGTTATAGCCTAGTGCTGCCAGTTATGGATACCTGCAAATTCATCTTGTATGCATATCTCTCAGCAAGAGGGGGCACTAGTGCTTATCATATGGAAATGTTCTATTCAGCCACTGAAGATTCTGCAGATAATGCTACCTGACATTTAGTAGCTCATGAACGATATTGCTTGATCTGGCAAAATACTGATACATCAGTCTAGATTTTTAGGGGACTCACTTTCAAAATGATAGTTCCTGGCAGAATTTTCAAAAACACAATGGCACGGAAATCAGTGGGAAATAGGTTTCTAAGTATTTTTCAATAAATCCCACTATCTATCTATTTACATCAATGGTATCTCAGAAAAAATGTGTTCCTAAGTGAAAAGGTTTTTAACTTTAATGAACTAAAATACTTCATGCAAAGCATCTTATTTCTGCTCTAGGTCATACTACAGCATAGATGATTCAATAATACCCTCTACAGAACAATATTGCCAGCCACGGGTAATATCAAAGGACATGCTTCAGCAGAATCAAGCCAGGTGAGAGAAGGCCAAGATACTCACTAGTCTGATAAACAAAGCTGAAAATCAAATTTCAGGTACACATTCTAATAAAAACCCTCAAGTCTCTCTATGATTTGGGGAAAATCAATTAGTCCCTAATTAAGAGATGCTGAAATTACTGGACACCTTACCATCAATTTTAATAGCTGTAGGAATAAGACTCCCAGTAAAGCCAAGCTCAATGCTCATTGGGCCTACTAAACTCAAGTGACAGAATGGTGTAACAGTAGAATGGGACAAAGTCTGTGGTGTAAGTGACCACTTCTCTTTCAAGGAACTTGTGTGAAAAGGCAGAACTCCATTGAAGTGGCACAAGACACTCAAGATGAATTTTCATTAACAAGATTATAGCATCTTTTAGGGATAAGAAATCTGAGAGAGTAAAATTTTTACTGAAACTGCAAGTTGAGGTACAGAACCAATTTTTCAGATGACGTTATTCTTTGTGCAATTTTTTTATATTTTAAAAACTTTACTCCACTACAGCCTGCAGCAATTCAAGCTCTGCTGAGATTGTACTCTGTCCAATACTTAACCATGCTGTTTCAACTTACATCTGGAGATTGTATGGTATTCCAATTATTTCAAAACGTTCAATTTCAAAATCCACTCCAATGGTTGCCTTGTAGTCTCGGTCAAAATTATCTTTACAAAATCTGCAATTAAAAAAAAGGGATTAAATACTAGTAACACCCAACCACAAACAAGTGCAAAATTAACACTATCTAGAGTAAATTATGAAGAAAACAAACAAACAAAACAACTGTGGAGTGGCTATATACTGCAGAAGCATATATAAAACCAGCAAGAAACTAATTAAGAAAAAAGGAGACAGTGGATAACAAACTAGAAAGCATATACATCTAGTGAGCTCTCAGGATGAAATGAGAATCAGAATAAAATATCTTTGGACTGTCAAGGAAGATACAGTATCTTACAGTTTTAGCTACAAGGGAATATATTTTGGGTCATATAATGGCCCAAATGATTAAACAATAAGATTAAAAATTCACCATATCTACCTAAGAATGTGGAAGAAATAATAAAATACAAACATAGACAAAAAGCTCTGCCATGGTGATCATAAGCTATACAAATTCAGTGATCTGTTCACTAGACATACACAAAAAGCATAAGACCTGTTTTTAACATCTAGTAAAGAATCAAGTAACTATTCTCTAAGACATTCTGCATTTTATCTGCCTTTTTTTATATTCTATGGAAAAACTGAAGCTTCCTTTACAGTCTTGCAGCTATAGGAATGAGTACATGAGGACAACTTAAAAGTTTCAGTGAACACCCCTACAAGTAATGAGAAAACATGAAAGCAAGACTCAGACACTGGAGAGATTTTAATTTTTTGTACCTTCTGATTGTGTAGCCTTCAGACTGGATTTCTTAGGGAAACACTGTATCATATTTGACTGGATAAAAATAGTTCAGCATATAAGATACACTGATTCAAGTGCGGAGCGTGACTTTCTATGTTGGTATATCCAGCTTGTCTCATATTGTAGAATTCGTTGTGTCATTTATTTAATAACAAAACCATGGTTCGAAACAGAACTGTGCAGCACTACCCGGAATGGACAGGAATGGAAACATTATAACATTTATTTGAGAAAGAGCAGAACCAAACCCTCTGCTGAGATATACTGTACCTGTTGATAAGGCTGGTTTTCCCAACATACAGGTCTCCTACCACAACCACTTTGGATATTTTCAGCCTGTTATAAATAATTGAAAATATTACATGTTTTTAGCAGCAATTTCAACATGGTCTCTCTAAAAATTCTGATTTAGATCCTTAAATTGCAAGTGATGAGCCCCTGTACCTGTAACACCCATTTACCTAAATGCTGCTCTGCTGGGGGATAAGAGTCTTAAATGCATAGAATCGTTTAGGTTGGAAAAGACCTTTAGGATAAGTCCAACCGTTAACCTAACAATGTCAAGTCCACCACTAAACCGTGTCCCTAAGCACCACATGTCTTTTAAATACCTGCAGGGATGGTGACTCTCTGGGCACACCGTTTCAATATCTGATAACCCTTTCAGTGAAGAAATTTTTCTGCATATCCAATCTACACCTTCCCTGGTACCACTTGAGGCCGTTTCCTCTTGTTCTATTGCTTGTTACTTGGGGCAAGACCAACCCCTACCTCACTACAGCCTCCTCTCAGGTAGTTGCAAAGAGTAGTAAGGTCTCCCCTGAGCCTCCTCCAGGCTAAACAACCCCAGCTCCCTCAGCCATTCCTCACAGGATTTGTGCTCCAGACCCTTCACCAGCTTTGTTACCCTTCTCTGGACATGCTCCAGTACTTCAATGTCTTTCTTGATGTGAGGGGCCCTAAACTGAACACAGTATTCAAGATGTGAAGATTTGCCCGCACCAGTGACCAGTACAGGGGAACAATCTCTGCCCCGGTCCTGCTGGCCACACTGTTCCTGATGCAGGCCAGGATGCCGTTGGCCTTCTTGGCTTCTTGGGCACACTGCCAGCTGATATTCAGCTGCTGTCAACGAACAGGTTGACCCCCAGGTCCTTTTCCACTGGGCAGCTTTCCAGCCACTTGTCCCCAGGCCTGTAATGTTGCAGTGGGATGTTGTGACCCAAGTGCAGGACCCAGCACTTGGCCTGGTTGAACCTCATACAGTGGCCCTGGCCCATCGATCCAGCCTGCTCAGATCCCACTGAAGAGCCTTCCAACCCTCAGGCAGATCAACACTCCCGCTCAACTTGGTGTCATCTGCGAACTGACTGAGGGTGCACTTGATCCCCTCGTCCAGGTCACTGATAAAGATATTAGAGATCTGGCTCCAAAACTGAGCTCTGGGGAACAAACACCACTGGTGATCAGCCACCAACTGGATTTAACTCCATTCACCATCACTATCTGGGCCCGGTCATCCAGCTAGTTTTTTACCAGGCAAAGAGTACACCCATCCAAGCCAGGAGCAGCCAGTTTCCACAAGAGACTGCTGTGGGAAACAGTGTCATCCACTAAGCAAGTCACCTTATCATAATCATAGAATTGCAGAACGGGTTTGGACTTTATAGGGACTCTATAGATCATCTAGTTCCAACCCCCCTGCCATGGGCAGGGACACCTTCCACTAGACCAGGTTGCTTCAAGCCTCATCCAGCCTGGCCTTGAAGACATCCAGGGATGGGGTATCGACAGCTTCCCTGGGCAACCTGTTCCAGTGCCTCACCACCCTCTCTGTGAAGAATTTTTTCCTGATATCTAATCTAAATCCAGCTGCTTGCATGGTTTCCAGGAGGATTTGCTCCATGCTCTTGCCAGGCACAGAGGTGAGACTGACTGGCTTGTAGTTCCCTGGATCCTCCTTTTTTTCCTTCTTAAAGATGGGGGTTATGTTTCCCCTTTTCCAGTCAGTGGGAACTTCACCACACCACCACGACTTCTTGAATACGATGGATAGAGGTTTTACAACCACATCTGCTAGTTTTAATTCTATTAAAATGGCTTTGAATACAAATATATACGTTTGGCAGTATGCACATAAGACCAGAGAGTATCTGCACCTTTTTCATTAAAATTTATCACAAGCTTCTCATTGACTTTTAACAGTACAAATCAAGTTCTAAGTACATAAGCAAGAAATTGCTGATGATAACTCACTCCAGAATTTGTCTCAGGGAAAAAAAAATCCACATAGTTAGAGCCAATATATTTTCTGACTGTCTGGAATAATATTAATCTGAAGATGGCTTCATGCAAATAATCCTCTTTGCTCTGGATCCTCTCACAGAACACAGCAGATGGGCTTTAGGTGACTCAGCCTGCATTCTTAAAATTGACATGTAGTGTGTCTTCCAGGAGATACAGGTGGATGAGTGACTGTAAGTGTATTTGTTGACCTAAACTTGGATTGACATCCCCCTTGCACGTGCTACAGAAATGGCTTAAGAGTTTTAATGTTCTTTTGCATCAAGGAATAGCTTTTTAAAATAAAGGAATTAATCTTATATTGAATACTATTTCTGGTATTACCAGGCTTCCATGTGATGCTGATTCCAAGTTATCTGTTCTAAATAGTCCAAATCTTGACTGGTAAGCTGTATGACTATTATTTCCAAAAAAGAAGGCATTTTGTGTGCCAGTCAATGCTAGCCGGGTGGCCACAGGTCCCCCAGCTCCTGACATGTCTCTGCCTGATTAACTGTTACTGATAAAATACTGAATAAAATCAATGATGTTAAGGGAAAAGCAAAAGAGTAAGTGATGATTTACAGGTGTGTGTTCCATTAATTCATACTGGGGAAAAAAACTTCCTAGATTTGACAATTTAAGACACTGATGAATATCAAGAGAGTCTTAAATACAGCCATTAGGTGCTGAATTTCTCAGACTACCTTTCCAAATTACAAAGAAATATTCCATTACTTGGGATAATGGAAAAGGAAGATAATGGTTATTCCTGTCAAGCTTTACAATTACTGTACAAAACACTCAGTTCTCTGTCCCTCCTACCACCAATGCACCAAAAAATGACCAATAATAATCTTATCTAGAGAGCAGTGACAGGAAAGTGGTTTAATTTTATTGACAAAGCCAAAATGCAATGCTTTTGAGCTATACTCTGTTACCAGAATAACTGGAGAGTTGGTTTAATCTGGTAATAAAAAAAGCCATACAGATCTTGGTTATAGAGGGGAAAAAATGCCTCAATTCACTAAAGCATGTCTTGCTACCAAAATTGTCCAGACACTTATAAAACATTTACATGCCACAAACAGTGACTGTGCTTCTAAAAAGCAATAAACTCACTGGTATCTCTCAGGGTGACATATTTTGGCTTCAATTTTTTTTTAGCAAGACGCCATAGTGAAATAAATAAAAAATTGCATTTAAAGATGGATATCATGACAAGTCTCGTGGTAATCAACAGCTCTAGATTTGAAAGAATAGTGAGCTAATTGTCAGTATTCACACAAGCTCCACTTTATGAAAGATCCTTCACACTGCAACGCAGAACCATTTATCACTAAAACATACAGCTATTTATTTTAACTGAATAGCTATGATTGCTAACATAGTTTAGCTTTCCAGTCTTGCTTCAGGAATTAAATCAGTACAAGTAACAGTTGTCGGAAGAGATGGTGTGAAAAAAACCAACATAAAGATTATTACTAGGCCATAAACCAGTTTATTTGTATTTTTCAATGCTATATATTTACCAGAATATTGCTCCAGTTTTAAGGAACCATTTAAGAGAATTTCTCAGCATATGAACTTCTAAAAGCTAGATTTCTGTGTGCTTCACAGCTAGATTTCTGTGTGCTTCAAGCAACTTAGAACTGCTGTATGTTTATATCCCCCAAAGCCTTTATTAACTGCTTATTTGGAACACCAACAGAGAATACAGCAAGGCTAGATCTGCCCTATTCCTTATAACTGCTCTAGAATTTGGTTGCCACGCTGACTTGCATTGCAAAATTCAACACTAATTTTAAATAGTCAATTGATCTTTTGAACTAAGTGTTTAGTTCAAAGTTGCTAAACAACTCCACTTTTTCAACGCTACTTATGCCTGCAGAAAAAATATCTTCGACACTTACAGGAAGAAGAGGCACTTTATTCATTTACTGTCAAACAGGTCAGAGAACTGCCACATGCATGGGCTTAGCTGCATTGAAACATACTGGAGTGATGGAGATGAGGAATGAAGGAGGAAAAGCCTATGAGGGAAGCAGGCTATGAATAGCTTAAAATACTTTCTTCATTGCACACTTGGTTTATTACAAACTTACCCAACTGTTCCAGTGCTCTGCTGACAAGCAGTTCTGACCTGCGCATGGAAGTGCTCCTTGAACTGCAGACAGGCCTCGGGTGTGTACCACTGAAAATAAAACAGCTACTAGGCTAAACTGTGTGATGTCTACTTTGCAAGAATTCAAACCATCAAGGAAAAAATAGGCAAGATTTATTCAAAGAGTTTGTCAAGCATAGGGATACCCTGGCGTAAGGAAAGGGCTAGCTTGAGATAGAAGGCAGGAAGGCTTCCCCGCAGTTACACTTGTAAAAACTCTGGACAATGCCGTTATTTGACCACCATTCCAAGTATCCGTATCCAAGCACTAGTTAAATTTCCACAGTCAAATACATTGGGTCATCATTCTGTACAATAGCAAGTACCTTAAGTTATTCCAGTAATCTAAGACCCACAAGACAAACACAGATGGGAGCATACTACCAGCAAGTCATTATTGCTATGAAGTCTTTTAGATCTCATGCATGTGTGAAGCACTGGTTTTTATTTCTAGTTTTTAATTAGGTATTACTAAAAAATGAGGAAAACATATTTTATCTTATATTTGCTTAAGATAACAGTGGTAGTTTTCACAAAATTCAAAACAAAATATATGGCTGACATCAAGCACAGAAAAAAAAATGCTAACTCCCTTAAAAGGATCTTTTGAACAACTGAAAAAAAGAGAATGGTAATTCCTTGTCCTTCCCTGTCCTTAACTCTTCTGTTATACTTCAAGTACAAAACTCTTCGGGGACATGAATGATCTTTCCTGTCTCTGTTTCTACAGTGCCTACTACATTTGATCTACTGTATGACTAAAGTTTCTATATAAAAAGTTAAAATTACCTCACATTCTTCAACCAAAACCTCCATATAGATCTAATTAGTCTTTTTGCATATTTAGTATCAGCTATGGTTCTTATTTCCCTTTTAGTGTAGGAACCCTTTAAGCATGTAATTATTAATGTTTGGCTGAAATAACATAATAGACATTATAAGATAACACTTTTGTGGCAAGAGTCACTTTTTGCAAAGATTAAAAGCAATTAGGATTATTATGAAAGATATCAGCATTGAATGGGATCATGAGGTCACATTCATCTTTCAAAGAAATCCTTAAACAATTTGTAATTTTAGCAGAAGTGTACATTAAAATAAAATACAATTATCACAAAGGAAAGATTGCTTAATGTGGCAGGTGATAGACACTGTGACCCGAGGGATAAAGAATGCTTACCTTGGGAAACTGGGAGATTATTCTGTCCCTACTCACTGGGGGAACCAATTGCATTAGGTTGGACTTCATCCTCCAAAATCAACTAAATTCTAGTAGACAGGAATTATGTGAAGAGAAACATAGTATTCAGGAATTGCCTCAATACAGGGAAAATATGATTTAAAAAAATTAGCAATTCTTACAGACTCACCATCTTTTTTTCATTTCAGTACAACTGGCAGTTCTTTGACTTCGTGTTAAAGAAAACCTGTTTCTTATGTAAAAGGGACCACTTTCATGCACACAGCTGTAGTAGCAAACAGTGGCTTTCTGAAACTACAAGGCACCAACTCTAATTCTGACGGCAGAGAATTGTTCACTTAATTTAACATAACTGCTTGCAGTGTAACCCTCGAAGGATTTTGCAGTGTTTAATTTAAAAATCTTGCTCATCATTGTTTGAAATGCCTCTGCACTAAGCACATTAATACATGTTAGGGGATACCAAATTTCATTTGGTCAGAAGAAGAAAGGATGAAAGATGAAGCTGCCAAATTTCTTGGCACAACATCAAACTTTCATCCAAGATCAGCTCAGAAACAATGAAATCAGTAGATACTCTGACTTGGAAAAAGAAGAGTGTTAACATGAAAATCACAAACACATTTAGATATCCCACTTGAGACATACCAATTTGGTTATGCAATGAAACCTCGTGGGCTGTTGGGGGAGGGGACCCTTAATAGGGACCAATTTCTTACTGGCATTGAAAAGAATGTTTCTAATAAGAACATTCATCATGTAGCAAAGTGTAAGGAAGGACTCACCGTGCAGCAGCTGATGCAGCAGGATCCCAGCCACACAAACAGCTCAGGCGTGGCCATAGCAACAGGCTTGCAACAGTTCCCTTCCTCCCCTTCTTTCACAGCCTGGAAAGGCGGAGTTGGAGTAATTTAACTATATACATAGGGACCTAGTCTTAAAAGAACAAACTGGTTTAGGCGGCCATACAGCTTCTGTTGATTAGAAAATGCTCCTTAATAAATCCAATGCCCCCCTAATCCTGTATAAGAAAATAGTTCTGTTTTCCTCAAAGATGCATGTATATATGGATACAAAGAGCAGGATTAACCCAGCAGATAAGGAACTAATGGAGTGGGGAACTATTACAGTGCTAGTATTAAGCATGCTAACAATTATAAAGAAACTCCTGGGGGATTTTTTCAGAATTTCAACTTAATTCCATCTCAGCTTTAGAGTCAGGATGTGCGTGCAACCAATGAGACATTCTGAATTACATAGATGTCTTTCTAGTCATTAGAAATCTTGCTTTCTAACATACCAAACACTAAAGACAAGGAATAAGAAATCACACGGCTCTTTTGTATTGCCTAACTATTGTTAATCAACTCAGTTTAGACAGCATTTAGTATGCTAGACTGTAATCTAGTATGCTAGAAGATTTTGCTATTTATTTCATTAGGATTTAAATTTCTGAATTTCAGGACCTGAAATTCAGGACAAAAGAAAGCTCTCACATTCTAATAGTTGTATTTTGATAATGCTGTAACAGGCTTGAACCTGTTAACATCCAAGACACAAGCCTCTCCCATTCCTGCAGCAGATTAAAAATGTTAGAGTGCAAATCAATGTGGACAAGTAATTTCAAAGAAGCATATAACAAAAAGCTACAATTCTGTTTTACAACCCCATCCTAAGAATAATGCTCAATAAAATTGCTAGTCCACTACTTAGAATTCATGTTTTATTCTCTTTTGTAAGGAATTGTTTTTAAAACACTTCAGGCACTCATGTGACCTCAACCATATTGAAACACCCACTTCCCCCCAAAGAACCCAGATTGGCAGCTGATGGGCTATTCACCAAAGAAGGTGACATTATAGTATTTATTTATTACCATCTGCATAGTTCTATTTATCATGCTACATGTGACCATATAAAACCAGAGATCTAGACCCCTTCTGTGGCATGCTCCTGTCCTTTTGGCAAGTTTGAATGATTTTACAGCAACATTAATGTCTTAAAATAACCGTTCTAACAACAACAAGAAAACCCCTGCCAGCTGGTAAGAGTTTCAAACACTAACTTGCTTTCTTCACATTCTCCGAGTTCTAGTTCAACACACCCTAAGCATCTAACAATCCATCATGTGTACGCAGGCTGACTCACTGCTCGTCTCCTAGAGCCCTTTCACAAACCCAGCTAAAAGAAAAAAAAAAAATCAATTCAACAGTCCCAGTGAATCCAAAGTGCAGGATTCTGTATCTCACACACACATAAACATATCACAATTTACCAAATCAACAAACGAGCCACACCGTTAGAGGAAAAAGATCCATGATTTAAGAAATACAAAGCTGCTAAAAATACTGAGAATGATCGGTACTGAGATCTGGATGTTCTTTTCTTACAGAGCTAAACAGGATTCAGTCACTAGAGAGGACCGGGAATATATGCCATCACAACCCTCCCTACATAAATGTTGTAGGAACATTATCACCAGCAGATTCTGTGGATAGACAAGGAATTTGAGGAAGGCATTCTGTAGCTGTACATAAAGTAAGTTAACGTCATGCCCACTAAGCAAAAATCACTATACCAAGGTACTGTGAAGGACAAGAGAGAACGGCTCACTCCAAAAGGACAAGAGCACAGTTAACACTGAAGGGCAAGAGAAGTCTCTGTTCTTCTCCTGTCCCTTCTACACTGAGAAAAGTTCACATTCTTCCTAATGATATTGGGTGAAATTTTACAAATGTATAGCTAGTGCTAGTCTAATTCAGGAAAATAACTTCTACTTTAAATAATCTGCCCTAAAACATTGAAGAAAAATGAATCCTTTCCGGAAAACATTTTTTGAAGTATTTATTTAAAGTAGTAATTTTTCTTTTATGGATTTTGAAGATCAACCAACCAGAATCTATTCCTGTGTTTTATTTTAATCCGGCTGATCTGCATGACTTTGGCATTGTAAAATCCAGTTTAAGAACTCCGATTATCATAACTGTTACTCAAACATAATGAAAAACATCTCAACGACTTCTCTGCCTCCACAGAGAACTAACCTTTCACAGCACAAGCTGTTCAGGGGCTTTTTCCTGACGCCAGCTCACACGTCCCCACCCAGAGCACCCCGAAGTTGTGCGCACAGCACTGCGGTGACACCTGTGTACCCTCCACTACACTTTTTAGCAGAATCATACTGAAAAAGATTGCCAAGTCTTGGACACAGTAATGGTAATGGAAACGCCTGGTACAATTCCAGCTGCTCAGAGTGACATGCTGGAGAAAACTAGGAAAGACAACCTAATCCAACGCTGCTGACCTCCCCTCAACCCTCGCACCTCAAGGCACCAGCTGTACCTCGGCCATTAACCCCACCACCCTTTTGTTCCCTCTCAATTTTTTCCGATTTTGGTCAAATGAAATTATTTTACAAACAGGGGATGAAGACAGAGGCTCACTCCATGCTTTAGCAGAGAAATGAGGTAAAACGGCCCCCGCGCTACAACCCCACGCGGCATTTCCTCACGCTCTGCTTCCTGAGGCGCCGCGCCGCAATTCCACCGCCCGCGGCCCTCCGCAGTCCCGCGCTACCAGCGGCCTCACCCCCAATTCACCAACTACGCCGTTGACGCTACTCTCGCCCAGCAGTCACCGTCAAACGCGGTGCTTACTCTGTTGACGCAGCACCGGATTCGGTACGCTTGGCTGCGTAGTTGTTATTCACGGAGTGAGGAGTACGCAAAGAGCGGGTTGCTGTGACAACGAGCGGGCGCGAAAGGCGGTGGCGCAGCTGGCGGGAGCTGTGGAGCGGGAACCGGGGACGGGCTGAGTCGGCGACATATTGGTGGGACAGGGCGCCTCTGAATATTTGTCTGTTTGTTTTGAGGAGAGAAATGCAGTCGTTTTATCTTTGCAGCTGGTTGTGTTGCTGAGCAGTTTTCAGTGCTGGAGGTTGTGTGCTTCTGTCGGCCGAGCCGTTTTCCTTCCTGCAGGAAGGGGCAGGTCAGCTACCGCTCACTCTTTCAAGCCGTAGCGAATTCTGAGGGCGGGTTTAAACTAGACCCCGTTTAAAAGACTTTTTTTGAAAAATGACGTTCTGTTTGCTTTTGCTTTAATATTATTTTGAGCCCCCAGTTCACTTTAATCCTTTGAAAAACACTCCCTCCCTCACCTCGCACTTGTAAGCTTGCCTTCTCTCTTTTTTTTTTTTACAGTGTTCATTAGAGAATTAAACCAGATAAGACAATTCAGCTGATGAACAGACATTAATGCTATCACCAGGAACCATTCCAGCTTGGTTTATAGCTTCCTAATGATGAATGTGTGCTAAACCAGCTCATCTGCAACGCGGAGCAGTGTTTAAAGTCAGTAGTTGGCTTTTTGGTGCATTATCTGTCCAGTCACCAGGTACAGTTATTTGGGAGTATTTTTAGGCATAAGGTGGAATATTTCCCAGGAAAATTTGGGATGGCACATGCTCGTATCTCAGCCAACCTTCCCCCGGATATAGATCCCACCAAAGCTCCTATTGCGTTTGGAAAAAGGGCTCTTCCCAAACTGAATGAGGAGCTGCAGTCTCCTGAGCTGCTGACTCAGCAGCGGGCACTGATGGCACTCTGCGATCTGGTCCATGACCCAGAAAAAGTCTACCAGGCAATAGAAATAGGTAAGTGAACTGTTGTCATTAGCTTTGACACGGGGAGGATGACCCCACTTTTGTGCGCTACTTTTTTCCTTGCAGTATCTTTGATGATGCCATGAAGATTTTTTAATTTTAATCTCTGCTTGTTTTACCTTAGAAAGAATATTATAACCCTGTTACCCATGAACCTTTCAGAAAAAAACAAAGCAGTGAATTTATGAATTTCTAAGAATGTAAAACTACTAAATATTTTTTTTTTAGAAAGGGAAAAAGACAAAGTTTTCAGTTATCCTAGAACAGGAAAAAAAAAGACAAAATCCCCTTTTCTTCCCTTCAGTAGACATTTTCTACCACACACGACAGTGGTACCTTCCTGGATTTTTCATGCTTGAGGTGCTCGAAGTACTCAGATCTCATAATAACAGGCAAAATATCTCTGATGAACATTTTAATTAATAAAATAATATTTAAATAAGGTGTACAAGTTCATTTGCAAAATCCATGAAGTCATCTTGGGTTTTAATGGCTCACCAAATTTATTTCTACATGTGAAAAGCAACGCTGTGTGTTTTTACATAGCCCATGCTGCACCTAAAGAAAGTTTGTCAATCCTGCAAACACATGCTTTTCTAAAGACATCAATGGCTCCACTGACTTATTTTTAGAGTTATGTCTCTTCATAAATATTTGCAAGATTAGGATTTAACTTGATACAGAAGTCAGCAGCTTGTTTGTGGCATGACATTTTTGGCAGTAGGCCTTGAAACCTGGAAGTTTCTTCCCTACTTGAGATATGACAATGAGAGTTTCACCATTCAGGACAAGATGAAAATTCTGATTGTTTGCACTTCAAATTGTGATTTTAAAATGTGTATCGCTATTTTAAATTAATGCTGAAGGCAAGAAATGTTAGAATGAACTGTTGTATCTCACAGGGTTCTTGGATAACCTGAAGACTTTGCTGCTACATCATGACAGTACTGTCCGACAAAAAACAACACAAATCCTGTATATAATGGCTATGCAAAATGTTGGCAGGTAGGTGTAATTCCACAGTTTACTGAATGGTATGGGAAGTAATAAAGATGTTTCAGAGAGAGAACAGAATTTCTAAGTTTTGGCAAGATAAGTGCAATGCAAATATGATTATTTAGTCAAGATGAAGCATCTCACAAATACGTGTGAGTTTTATTATGCTTAGCTAAATCTGTCCTCCCCTGTTTGTAGGCAAGGGCTGATACAAAATGGAGTAATTTCTGTCCTCACTGGGCTCTTGGATGATCCACTAGATACCTGTCGGAAGAACACGCATCAAATTCTTAAAATGATGGCAAAATTACCTGAAGGTAGGGATTTTTTTCATTAGCTAAGTAATCCATAGGCAGAGCAGCTGGGTGAATTTACCTGATTCCCTGTGCAATATCTTCCAGACTTATTTTATTCCATATTCCTTTAAAATCATATTTAAAATGGTGTATTTTCTATTTTTGCTCATTTTTATTACTTTAGTTGGTTTTCCTATGAGCATTTACTCTTTGGGGTCTATCAAAAAACTTTAAAAGGTATGACTCATCTTTTTTTATTGGTGGAGTCAACTATGTTTGCCAGAGCTGGTTTTGCATCCCTAAAAATTTGCAAATTGTGTAACAGTAGTGAGAATACTTAGCCAAAATACAGAAAATGCTTTACACAGATAACAAGTGAAATTCTCTCTGTTAACATAATACATGAATAGTCCTGTCTGTGTGTTGAGGGGGCTGATCCTGCTAGACCTGTTACTTTTCTTAGGTCTTACACAAGTTAAGGCTACCTGCTCAGATACAGGTTGTATGGACTGCACACTTGAATTTTTATTTCCAAAATTTGCATCAAAAATTGACTTTATCCTTTTCTGTTAAAAATGATGTTCAGCTGTTCATCATGGTGCAGTAATTTCACAGCACACAGGGTTTGTAGAAGGTTTTTCTGGTGTTAAGAGGCATAACTCTTGTGAAATGTGTTTTATACCTTCCCTGCTCCCTGAAAGCACTGGTGTAAGAGGAGACAAATGAGCAAGTAAAGGCACCATCCATTGCGCTGTGAATTCTGCAGATTACCTATTAATGTGTCTTTGACCTCAGGCTCATAGGCACTGTTTCTTAAATGTACTTTGACATCGCTTTCAGGTGATGAATTGAAAAAAAAACCCCAAAGCTAGCGGTGATGTATGGAATGATGAAGTTTGCTTTTTCTGATGTTTTATTCAAATATTGTTTGCCCTTAGGTAAAATTGTTAAGCGGACTCGATAAGATATGAAGTTGAAAACATGATAAATTGACATCTGAAGTTAGGTGTAAACTGAGCCAGTCATTCTACACTCCCTGTATAGCTGGAGAAAAATCAGTATCTCCAGGGGCAAAAGGTCTGATCTATCATAGGTGCTCAGTTTAGGATGAGGTGGGTTCTGCTCTGGTGATGTCCATTTATCTTCAGTGAGATGAACAGAAGCTGGGTTGATTACATCAGAGTCGGGCATCTAGCTTTTAAATGCTTCAGTCTAAACAGGGGAATCCAAGCTGAGAAGGTCTTTGACTTCCCAGAAGAATAGGTCTTTGTACCTTTCACATGCTTTCTTTATAAATATTCTGTATATTTATAATTTTCTAAATGTTTTAGACATGAAGGGAGTTTATGCTGACTTGTTATCTTTATCTCCAGGTTCTGTGATTACAGTTTCAGTAGTTTGCTAATCTAAACATTAGTCACAAACTTTACTCTTCCAGTTGATGAAAATTATAAAATTAAACTTTCAGTAGATAGAAATTACCAATTAAAAAGCTACAGTATTTAAATCCATTGGAAAGTATCTTGTCTGAGGAATTTTGTTACATTACTAGTAGAAGAATTAAATGAATGCTTAAAGCCTTCCTGAGTGAGTGTGCATGAATTCTAAAGATGTATTCTAACATGCATGCAACCCTTCTAAAAGTCATAAATAATTGAATCCATATGATGTATATGAATATGGTGGCTAAACAACTTTGTGAACATCACTATAGAAAACCAGATTTTCTATCAATTTAATTTCAATAGCTGTTTTACATATTTTTCAAATCAAATGAGACAGTGCCCTGGTTTAAGTAAATTTTGACCTGTCTGACTGCCTTTAAAGAATTCTGTCCCTTACCTATGTAGACAGATAGGTACCATCCTGTGAATATGTGGATCATAAGAGAAACTTATGGGAGGAAAAAAACTAGTCAGTAAATGTTGACAAATTTTTGCAGATCACTATTTATCACTGACCATTAATCCATACTGCCCAAGGCTGCCTTCTTACCCCTTTTGGAGCTGCTTCATTCAGCATTAAGCTTTGCTCTTCAGTGTCTGCTGTACTGAGCTTTATTATTAACTCTAACCTTCAGATGTGGCTAGATTTCTAGCAGGCTAATACACTTGCCTCCTTCTGCTGATTGAGTTTCCAGAGATGTGGATGATGCACAACTTAAGTCAACTGGAAAGGTTTCAGTCCACGCTTGGAAAAAGGTGTTGTTCAGACACATATATATATTTTATTTAAATAAAAATATAACATATATATAAAAATGTACGTACCTGAATTTAAGGGTTGGAAGATAACACTGTGAGCAAGAGAGTTACTGTAGTAGTTACTGTAAAATGACCTCACATACAGATGGATATTTACAAGAAACTGTCTTCCTCTCTGCATTTACTTCCCCTCACATCCTGATAATGAGATTGGAAGTGTCTTGTGTCAGCTGGAGGGAGTCAGCAACTAATACACCATTCCCCAGTTAGAATTCTGATGGTTTTTACAGCAGAGGTAATCTACAGGGCCAATAAAGCTGTATGTTCCACACTAGACAAAGGGAACACAAGCTGTACATGTATTTGGACAAAGTGTAGTTTTTGTTGGCTGGGAAGTGATCAGTGACTCCAGTTAGCTCTATGCCAGGCCACCTGGTCTTTCTCCAAACAGAAGTAATTTAGGAAAATGTGGTTATTTTAAGCAAATCGACTTGCAGACTACTTTTCATTTCTAAATATAAGGTTGTATACCAGTATCCTCCAGGAACAGTGGGATTGTTAAAAACCAAAAGCTGGGAAATTCCACAGAGATATGGAGAACACTGGGGAGCAGCATTTCCAGAAGAAACAACTTAGTGGCAAGAATTAATGGACGGAAGAAAGACATAAATAAGATACATGTATGTATTCAATAGAGGATGGAAGAGGGGAAAGAACCAGCAGCAGGAAAAAATTAAGAGCATTGGAAAAATTAATAACAAAACTTTCACTCTTTATGAATACCATTAGTTGACACACAATACTTGACAATATTAGTGAAAGGGTGCTGTGCAATGATGCTGAGCAATAACAATGGCAAAAATAGTTTTAGGATAAAAAAATATTTCATTAGGGTATGGTTAATACTGGAAAAGTTTAATAATTCTTACCCATTATATTTCCTTTCTTTTATGGGTCCTTAATCCTTTTAGACAAGGATTGAAGTGGATTGGATGCGGCAATGGATTTTTAAGCTTGCCAGAACCTCTATTTGGGGAAAGATTGGAAAATCATAACCAATTGGATCTGTGGATAAGGACTGTTTACAGATACCTTTATTGCTTTGAAACTTGTTTTGCTGTATGGAGTGCAAATGATGAAAGGACAGATGGCATTCTTATTGCAGCAGATGGAACATCTCTTCTGTGAATGTCATTGTTCCCCAGGTGAAGTGAAATCCCAGCTGTATTAATGCAGTTCTTTCAGGTGGCAGTGTGCTGCATCACTGATAAACCTGAGAACTGAGAGAATAGATGCAAATTTAATTGCATGATTGATCCAGGTGGATGACTAAGAGTAAGGGATTTCATTTCAGCACCTGTCTTTGGCCCAGATTTTTCAGTTTTAACTTCCTTGTGCCTCAATTTTTTTATACAATCAGAAAACAGAGTTATTTTACATCTGTGTGAAAAAGAATTTATTTTTAAATCTTGAATTCTTCAGATAGAAAACAGAGTAACCATGAATTACTCAGAATACTGAGATCAAAACCCATAGGAATTAAGTTATTAGAGAGTTCATAGCAAGGAATTGCTATTCAGAGAACATCATCATGTGAATTGATCAGGTAAATTTAATTATTTACTGCTTTATTCCTCCCCATACCTATGCTTTTCTTAGTCTAAGTAGGAGCACATAACAGTGATTAATTTCTTTTCTTCTTTCTAAGATAGCTTTCATTCAGTGAGAAAACTGACTCCTTTTCTTAGAAGCACCCTTAGGACTTTGTTAAAATATCCTAGATTCTCCACTTGTGATGTAGATTGCCTGTAATACTTATATTGGGATGACATTCTTAGTTGAATAAATATTTATTTTTTGATATAAAATATGTCTTACCCTCTCAACTGACTACACATTTTAGTTTTTGTACCCAGCCACACATGCCAATGTTTTCTTGTTACTTCTTAAGTACCATGAAAGCTAGAGGTGAAGGAGGCATACCATCAAATAGTCCATTCATTGGAAAAGGAAGCCCTGACTCATTTTATACCTTTTCACAATTTGACTGGCTAATAATAGGATATTATGCTATAGAGAGCAATTTAAACCAGAAATACTGTGTAATTTCTCAAGTAAATGATAGCACTTGAACAGTAAATGAATTTGAAAGGATCCTGTACTAGCAATTACCATATATAGCTTTTAGTAAACTCACCAAGTCCAGCAGTGAGACTGCAATAGTATCTCCTCATACAAGTGAGACCTAAATGCTCCCTGTGTGGCATGACAAACCTTTTATTTCCTCAAGGCACAGGCTCATTGGCTCTTTTGCCTCTATCCTTCAGGTGTAACAGTTGATAGGGAATGCTTAAAGGGGCCCCATGTCTTCAGTACACAGATAAAATACCTGATTAAAAATTAGACGCAATTTTCTCCATTATCGATTATGTCTGGACTGAAGAGTTTTTAAAGTGACTCAACCCATGACTTGAGCCTCAGAGAATTTTTTGGTTACGGTTGCATTCTCTAGCAAGGTTGAGAAGGATTATTGCTTGAGACACTGCCTTCAAGAGTATTGTAGTTCTCTTGGCAGTCCCAGATCATCATTAGCTTAAGTCTCCAGGTCACTTAGAAAAATCATAGTTTGGATTTAGATGTCCTCAAATGGGTCAAAGAAAGGATTCTTAAAATTAGAAAGATTAGGGCTTTTTGATGCATTTTGTAGAAATGCTGAGAAGGAAACGAAGGAGTAAAACTGTCCAAGCACAATCAAATATTTTCAGCTGGTCTTGGGGTTCAGCTGGATTAATGGGGTGAAGAGTTCTAAGTCATATTCCGTTTAAACTCCAGGGTTATTATTTATCTATCATGCTCTAACAAGTGATTTTTATGAGTTTATGCTATTTGTACAAGAGTTGTACTTTTTCTTAATGTACATCCAGACTTCTAAAGATTTCAGTTAGAGGATGTTCTGAAAGAACATTGTATTCTGAACTTCAGGCACCAGTCAAAAATTTATGTATGTACTTATACCTAGACATGTATTTCTAGGCACAGACATCTCTGCTAAATACCTGCTTGTGTAAGACAAGGTAGGCTTCTTATGTAACTTGCATATAGCATGGAAGTTCTTGAATATCTCTTTCCTGATATTTCCTGTAGATCTTAATCTATAACTTCTTCCATAAAATGGCTACTAACCATCTCCCACAAAGATAGAACAATAACCTGTATTCAGAATTTGTAAAGATATTAAATGAGAACACATCCCTTAAGTCTTACCGAGTTGCTCAAATGTAATGGCTTAAGATTAAAATAGCTGAATGCTGGTGAATAAACTGAGGAAAAAGATCTGGAGCAAATAAATAAAACTCAGCTTAAACTGACATAAAGAAAACTTTACAAACATTATCCAGTTAAGTAACTGTCATAACATTAATTAATGAACACACTATAGACACGTTCAGTATCATTTGAATTATTTATTTTTTTTAGGTGGACAATTTAAATGTTGATGTTATTAACCATTTGTGTTAAATTTCTTAGAGCCCTTGGCTGAGAATTCTTGAACTAATCATAGTACATAGGGGGAACAAAAGTAGGTTATTTTCCAGTGTGCATGTGTGTCTGTGTCTCTGTGTAAGTATGTGCTTTACAATTATCAAACATATATTTACACACCAACTTTACACTGAAGTCTTTTAAGAAGTCTTTTCTATGGCAGGGCAAAGAATCAACTGACCAAAGACTTAGGTCTATATGATCCATTTGAGATTTTCCAGTATAGTCCCACAGAGCTTCTTATGCATTCAAACTTTTGCCGGAATGTTACTCCATCCAGTAGTGTTTCTTTATGAGATGAAACCTGGAGCTGAGGAATGCATCTCTTCAGTTTCCTTGACTTCACTAAACTGTAAATAATTTAAATTGAAATATCAAGACATTTAGTTATTGTTCATATCGCTCATCTTTCACCTTCTAATGATACATCACATATTTTAAATAATTAAAAAAAAACCCAACAAAAAAAAGACTTTGAAGGCTATACACTACACGATCTCCATGGCTCCTGCTTCTTGGGAAACCTGTTACAATATTACAATTCCCAGAATGTATTTGGAGCAGTGGAACAGAATTGTCCATTGGCAACTTTCACATTCAGCAATCCAGACACTACAACAATAATTTAAAAAAATGCCTTTTGATTTATCTTTTAATCTGTATTAAAAAAGGAACACTAACCTACTTCTTACGTATAGTTTGTTTTCTGTGAAACACCACAAGATTTGGCAAAAAAAGATGTAAAAGAAGACTGTTTTGATGTATAAAACTCCTTACCAGTAGAAGAAACACTGACCTTAATTTGGCCTATTCTTAGATTCATTTTATGTATTTTTGCTGCATATTTGAAGCCTTAAAGAGCAGAAAGAGCTGCTAGTCAGTTTGGAAATCACAGAACAGTTGCACACCAACAATTCCTTTAACAGGCAAGGTGTCCATGATAAACAGTAAAGTAAAGCAGAAGTGTGTACATAGTATATGCTGTGACTCATGTGCATACATGATGTATGTGTATATACTGTTTGGCTCTGTGTACCAATATGGTGGGTGCGTGCCCATTCTCTACAACTTTAAGTAGTATTTTGCTTAAACTCTTCTGTTCTGTAACTTCTGGTTTGAACTAGCTTTCCAACACAACTGTTCTGCTCCACACCCTGCAAATGAGTTCATCTGTCACTCACCAGCTTTATATCTTCATGTCAGTAAAATTTTACGACAACTGGATGAAGAATTATTTCTTACATAGAACATGGTAACACTTCCACTGTAGGAAATGGAATGAAACAAATGGAATAAAAGTGCAGTGACTGTGGTGAAAAACATCTCCACAGAGTTAGGCCTCAATTTCTTTTTTATTTGTTTGGGGTTTTTGAGTTGTTGTTGTTGTTGTTTTTTTTTTTTTCAGAGGGGGTGCGGGAAAGGGGATGCAGAGAAGGTTTTCACTCTTCAGAACATATATGTGTGAGAAATGATGTAGCAGGTTAAGGGGGCATAAGAGGAACTGTGTGCATACATCAGATTTCCCCTTTTCTCTCCTTGGGCTACTAAGCATTGCCCCTTTTTTTCCACTAGAAGTGGAAGTGGTTAGCCCCTTTTTTATCACTTCAGGATAACAGGTTAAGCCCAAGGACTCTTAGCAGAGGCCAATATATTTGAGATTGTTCTGAATGATGACATCTGTCACTGCATCAAAGACAAATTGGATGTTACTGGTATCAGTGGCGCAGGTGAAGTGTGAGTAGATCTCCTTGGTCTCCTTGTTGCGATTCAAGTCCTCAAACTGGCGTTGGATGTAGACTGCTGCCTCCTCATAAGTGTTTTGGCCCTTGTATTCTGGAAAGCAGACTGTTAAGGGGATGCGCCGGATTTTGTCTGCCAGCAGATCTTTCTTATTCAAAAAAAGGATGAGGGAAGTGTTGATAAACCAATTGTTGTTGCAGATTGAATCAAAGAGACGCAAACTTTCTGCCATTCGGCTCTGTAGGAGAGGAGACAAAAGGGTCAATGACAGTGTCTTAGCATAACTGTGGAAAGTAAGCAAATTACATTATTATGTCTATCAATAAGCCAAATCTCCTTTTAGAAAAAAACCCTTTTGTTTTATTTGTCAACTCTCCATCTTACCTGGCCATGAAATTTCAGGGATCTTAATTCTCTCGTCTTGATACAATACATTTCATCACAGACTACCTCTTCCTTTATTTTTTAAAATGTTTGGCAGCTATGGAGGAAAGTCTAAAATTGAAGATTTAGAAACAATAGGTGCAACTTGGGAAACCATGGTTGTGTTCAAACTTAAGTTAGCACTATAGACAAAGTCTTCATATAAAGGAATGAGTAATTTCTAAGGATTCCACACTAGAGAAACATTCTCTGTTAAATTTTTTTAAAAAGACATAACTACTACAACGCAATTGTAACATTGCATTATTAGATGTGTCGTTTAGCACACCATACATACTCAGAATTTTTTCCTTGATTTACTTCTCCCCATTGTAAAATGACAAGCTTAAAAAGAATGCACAATAACCACCACATTCTACTATGGTGGGTCAACTTGTATATTGATAGGTAAAAGCCAAGTTTAGCCAAACGTGTTTAACATCTTTCTGTCAGCTGCCCCGAGTAAGCAAACTCCATTTATGAAAAATTTGGGATGACCACCAAAATTACATATTTGGAAATAACAATCCACTGCTGCTGTAAACTGAAAGCAGGAATGTAGAAAGCAACGGCCAGCTGGAGTTTTCCTCGTGCTGCTGCTGTGAAGCACTTACCCATGGTGCAGCTGGAGCTGTCCATGGTACCCAGTGCTCCTGGAAGGCTGAGTTTATTGATCAATTTACACCTGGAAATAGGTGTAAGCAGTGATGTTTTCAATAGAAAATATTCTGGACGATTAAAAATCACTCAAGTATTGTCAAAAGTAGATACAGAAAATACCTTAATTGGGCATCTTTTTGCTAAAGATCAATGTTTTCCAGCATGTTACAACTTAGCTCTTTATTTCTGTTAGGTTTCATTGGTATATCAGCATTATCATTATCTGACTAACTTCAGTCAAATATTTGTCTGACATGAAAAAATTTTAAGGTATGCACTCATATTTTCTATTTAAAGGAAAAATCTCTTTTAACCAAGTCATCCTATTCATATTTAGATAATGGGGTTAAGCACGGCATTTTACAATTAAGCAACGAAGTTTCATTCCAATCTTTTTCAATACCCAGAAATAATTTTTTAATAAAACTGTAATTCTTGAATAAGTGGACCTTTATTCTGTCCCAGTTCAGCGATGTTCATATACTGCTGAAAGTAGGAAAAGAATATAGGACTGAAAATTTGCAATATTTTTTTTTTCTGTACAGCAAATGTATTAGGAAAAAAGTGTAGAAACAAATATTCACAATACAAGGTACATTTCAAAATTTGGAATTATATAGATTCTGAAGATTTCATAGGCTTTGACACAGAGGTAACATAGGCTGAATCCTGGAATTCTCGCAGGGATGTCCATTTAATTTCTTTATTTTTTTAATTTTAACTAAAAGAGTGTGTGCCTGTTCCAGTTATTCTCTTCTTAAAAATTAAAATCAACTATGTCTTCAACTTGGTGATAATGCTGTTTGTTATTCTGACCTCTGTGGGCCATTTTCATATCAAATTCCAAACCCTGAGTTATGGTCTTTCATCATTCCCTTCTAATCCTCCTCAGACACCCCAAAACAATTTTTGCAATTTCTGAGCATCTTTAAAGTCTTAGAACACTGTAAGGTATGTGTCATGCCAGTAGACCTGATCCAATGCATAGCTCTCAAAATCAAGTAGGTAAATCAATGTGATCGTAATCATACTATGAAATTCAGTATCCCTATTCACATGTCCAGATGAATTATTTTGTATGGAAAACATTTCTGTAAAGCTTTTAGCTCTTACCCAAATAACAGCCCTACAGTTAATATTAGACCTACAGCTAAAATACTAGCTATTGTTCCTTCTCACTCTTTTGTGTTTAGGCTTTATACTGCTGAAAACATTGTTGTGAGGAATCATGGTTTATTCCTATTTTATCTTCAACAGTCCTTCCCTCTGTTTTAACACCAAAATTTATTGCGCCCTCGTCATGAAATGCGAAGAATCTTGTTGTCCAGTCAATTCTGTAAAGTCTCCTTGCTGATAAACCAGGGATAAAATATGAAGAAAGCTTTTCTTATACAGCAATATAGCTAATCTACAGAAATTTTCTTCCATGTGAAGTTACTTTAAAGATATACATATTCCACAGTGATGCTACTTGTTTTCAGAAATACCTCTTGTAACAAAACAAACAAAAAAAATCCAACCCAAAAATTCATTTGACTTCTTACATTTATATCTGATATAACATACCAGCATCCTTCCAAACAACAACACCACCAAACAAAACCCCCCCAAACAAACAAACAAAAACAAACTCCAAAAAAACCAAAACTTGCTTTTTGATGGAGTTTTATGTTTGGTATTCTTTTACCATATGTCAAAGAACATACATTTTGCAGTTCACAATGCTATTTACAGAGTACATTCATCTGTCTTTGTATCTGTTTTGATTTATTTACTGCAAATAAAGAGACAAAGGGCAGACTGGAAAATAGCTATGTATTTTATGATTCTGTATAAACATATTATGTCAGATATATTGGTCAAGTACATTTAGAGAACCCATGTTTTCTTTTTTATAACTTAATAATGGAAACAGTGAAAATAAGGCATTGGAGATAATACACAGAATTCATTATGAAATTACAATGTGTATCAAGTACTGTATTCCTTCTATAAAAGGTATGTGCCAGAACACAGAGTGGTGGTGTTCTTGCAGTGCCAACAGGTACAGTACTTTGGATGCTTGCTTACTTTGGGTAGTGATTCTATAACCACTAACACTTCACTAATTTCTAATATTCCCACCACTACTTCTGCAATAATTGACTCCTTCGTTTTCTTCTGGTGTTAACCTGTAGTGAATTTACATTTTCCAACAGTATTAGCCGCATTTCCCATATAGATTATTGTGCAAGTATTGCACTCCTTTGTATATGCAATACTTTAGGTTTCTAAAAACCTTGTGTAAATCATCAGTTTCTTCAGTGGTCCACTGTAAGTGAACAGAAAGGATCTGGGATCTCAAAAAAGGAGAATATTTTGTTTACAAGATTATTTACAAATATGTATGTTTTCCATTTGTCTGGCTTGCATTCAGAGGGATGAAAATAATCTAGACTCAGTATTTTTGTTGTTGCTTGGCTGTGAAGTATTCTGGCCAGTTTTCCTGTTTGGAAAGTGGACCTAAGAGGCTGATTTTGGCTTTTAATAGAAGTAACAGTATTTTAGGCCTAATTCTCCTGACATTTATATCAGTGGGATCTAGTGCATCTCCCTTCACTACAGTCACTCCATATTGCAATGGAGGAGGTAAAGAGAGAAGAATCAGGAACTATTTATTACATGAAAAGTAATATGAAAATATAATTTATTTAAAGGTTACTTTTAATTTTTTTATCAGATAAAGAAAATACATTGTATTGATATAACTTCAAAGGAAATCTGCAACAATATTAGTAATTATTGTTACTCTGAAACAGTATCTTGAAAAAATTACCCTTAAAAATGCAATTTTGTTGAAATATGAGCAGACTGTTTTATCTAAGCTTTTCAAATTACCTGTTATACTTTCCTCATTCTATCTGTGTTTCTATTCCTTTTCATTTGCTATGGATTGACTTGGTGAGAATCACATCCCCTGTTCTCAGAGTTCCATGAAGACATTGATTTAGTTATTTTAGTGAGTAATTCTTTGTCTACAGTGTTTACTGATTGTAACCACAGACGTTCGGCAGTTTCTGGTTGTTTCAAAAGCCCCCAGGAGCACAGGGCACACCATGAGTGCTGGCACTGCCACAGCAGCAGTATGTAGCCATGTTGAAATCTAATTCACAAGCCTCCTCAAGCAAACTGAAATATAAGCAAAGTTATACGGTCCCTATACTGGAGGTTGTTTACTTCTTCCTTTGTCATCTGACACTTGAGCCTACCTTATGTGCACACAGATCTATAGGTGTAAAACTTGGCTTTAAAAATCTGTTTGAGAGTTTTTTTTTTTTTATTATTATTTTCACAGTGCAAATCCTGACACAACAGATAATCCCCTAATAACATCATCGGTCTGTTTCCAAATAATCATGCTTTGCTTTACTTCCCTGAACTTGTAGCTGATATTAAAACCATGCAAGAAATTTTTAGCACAGTTGCAATGCTTTTGCTCTTAATTGTCTGGAAAAAAAGTGTTTTAGAGCTAATATAGGGTTTTGGCCAACTCTCAGATCATTCATGCCAACAGGATATTGCAATTTGAGAGGTTTGTGTTTATTACTGTGTTTTGTAGTGAATAGTAGTACTGTCCCTCTACTACCAAATCCTCACTTGGAGTCTGTAGTCCAAGGACAAAAGCAGAGAGTTAAAATCTTTCCATGAATTGTGAAATATAATGAACACATACAAGAGGACTGATGGTTTTAAATTATTATAAATGTGTTGATCTCTTACATGATGTAAAGAATAATTAGTTAACAGTTGTACCTGACACAGAAGAAACTTCTTCAATGTAATATTATTATAATAATACTGGTTGAATATTTGAAAGTCATAAAAACCTTAAGTATACTAAACAGAATTTATTTTAGTTAAAATGCAAGTTTATCAAGAATCATTTCCAACAAAGATGCAGGCTATATTACACCAGTACAAGACTATGGCTGCATGGTATAAATGCATGATACACCTTGGGAAATGAACACCCAAAATCCATTTCATAATTTAACTATAACAGCAGGAAAATGTATCACTAGACAATGAGGATACATACAGTGCATCAATAGCATTTAAAACAGCAATGCATGATGTGGCTCTCATTATTTTATAGCGAGATAGCATCTTGACATA